GGGGTTTGACGAGGTCCGCAGGCAGAGCGTTTCATAAATGGGTCACTCTGTTGGAAAAAGCGGCCTGACAACGAGCTCGTGACCCAATGATTGGAGCGTCAGACTCTCATCGAAAAGGTCACGAGTTCGAGCCTCGGGGGAGGCATCACTTGAGTCTGGGTATGACAAGCTGACAACGGCTAATGAACCAGAAATGGCCATTCCAGTGTCCCTTGTCTTTGTCGGCATTAATATCTGCCTAAGCGTACTAGCCGCTACGGCTGCTGTCAGGGCCCACGAAATGGGACCCAAGAGAGAGTGGGCTAGTTATTTCCGCTAGCAGTCGGTGAACGTTCATCAACGAGGATCAGTATCCTTTATGTGGGCGACTGAGTCGATTTTCGTGATCTCATCCACACTAAAGTTATCAGCGGTTAGACCGGGCTCTCACAGATGTTACTTTCTCACCATGCTAAAATCGAGGCTATTGTCAATTTAGGCAAAAAAATAGGCCTCCAGTTCTGTCTACCAGTTCTAGAGTGGTAAACGTGTCACACAACCAATAGGCACAAGGAATAAATATCCCTGTGATGTCTTGCGCAATAGATGTTACAGGTTTTTAGGTCTAGGGTTATATGTATTTTGTTTTTATTTAGTTGACAGCTCTTAGAGTACACAAGATACTCAACGCGAATGGCGGGCCTGGTATCATTGAAAACCTGGTAGTGTGAAGCCCACAGTTAAGTTGGACTGTCACATAACCTAGACTTAACTCTAGCTCATAACTCATAACCCGACATAGAGTCCTGATTCTATTCAAAAATATACCAAGCCATCTAACCAATTTACTTAAGAAGACAAAAATCTTTTTTAAATCCTGTTGCCGTCAGTTTGGTTGCCGATAGTTTTACACTTTTCTTATTAAGCTTAACCGGAGTTTAGTATCCCCAAGACATTTTGTCCGACCACCCTAAGTATCCGAAGTGCATTAAAGGACTAAGACAAATATCCATCTTTTGTTTCCACTCGACATTACAACGATGAGGAGGTATGCAAATGTCGATTAATTTAATGATGGAAAGTCGACTAGACTTCAGAGATACTTGTTACAAAACTAATGGTCAAATTGATGGATGTCGAATTCAAGGCTGGTAATGAATAATTTTGGAAACGGGCAATGTAGACAACAAACTGCAATATTCAATGATGAACGGTCATGCAGAGAGCAATAAGCTTCCCAAGGCAAACAGCTCTATATGGATGGCAAATGTCACGACCAGGCAACCAATTGCTAGGCTGAATTCAACCAATCTATGCGTATTCTCGGTCCTCTTTCCTACCCACTTACTACAAAGTTTCCTTTTGCGTATTATCTTCGAAGGCCATAATCACTGAAGGCAAAGCAAAAGAAATTCACTATCGTTAGGCATTAAAACTGTCACAATACGTATTATGTTTCTTAGCATCTGATTTATTTGTTTTATTTATGCGTCCATTTCATCATCGTTTCAGTCCTTCTTTGCGAATAATACTGTTGTACTTTGGTGCGCTTCGCTCAACGACTTTGTTTTCGCTATCGACATATCCGACCTAACTACTGAGATCAGTAACTAATATTGGAATACATTCGTAATTTTTGGAATATTTTCTTTCGAAAATAATTCTATCTTCATCTCTAATTGATAATATCCCACTAAGAATACCTATTATTGACGTATTTTCAGAAGCCTAAAGATAAACAGTTTTCGAACATGCAATATATAGATCCCTGTGTCGTTTTCGTTATGAGATTTTCTTAATTGGAAACGATAAACCTTTCATAATGTTCCTTAAAAGTGAAGCAAGCTTACCCAGCGTTAAATATTTCCTGGAAGGAGAATGGACGAAATGTTTTTACTCTGGGGAAATCCTTCAAATTAGGACGTCAATAAAAGCATTCGAGAAAATTATATTCTGCAAGCAAGAAGGGATAAAAAAAGAAAAATCGTCAACAATGCGGAAGATCCGATTAATATTCCCAAGCTTTCCATTCTTCACCCCCCCTCCCCCCCAAAAAAGATTGGCTTATTTTCCAGAAATGTTTCGTTTGCATTTGCTTATGTACTTGTTACTGTATGGCAGGTTCTGTTAGTCAGGCGACTAGGCCGCCATTTAAACAGACAAGAGTGCGCCTGTAGTAACCCCACTGCGTGTGGAAGCTCAACCTCACGCCCACTGCATTCTGGCCAATCATCTGCCTGTGGCTGACTCACAAATTACCGCACTGTAGACGCCGCGATCACTCCCACGGTCTTACACTTTGGATGTGGTCCCCTCGCGGATGGTTGTGCACTCCTCCGACTATCAACTTCCTCCAAACTATTCTCCACTGCCTCTGTACAGAATACACTATTCCTTCCATCTAGCGTCCAACTTCTCATCCCACACGGAACCGGACCTGAAGATCGCAGCAACGAGAGTTTTACCTCTTAACATAAGCCATTGCGATACGTCCTCCTGTTTGGTCTAGTCTAGGCCCGGTAAAGTCCGTCCACAGTACGGTTGTGGTTCAGCTGGTTGACAACGTGGTAAGGATTGTTGGTAGAAGATTGAGCTATATGGCTCCCTATAGAAGACATGAGCACAGGAACGATCCGCAATACAGGCAGCTAAATCTCCAAATTAAGCTGAAGATTTGGATTAAGTTTACGGTTAGTATTAAGGATAGTGTGAATTAAGATGTAAAAGTTTTGCATGGGGCAAGAGGGAAAAATTGAACTACGGCTTAATTGGATGTTAGGGCTAGTGTTAGGAATGAGACACGGAATAGTTATTTCTCCTGAAATTATGCACAGGATCACCTTACTTAATTGGGCGAGTGGTTATTAAAGCTATGTCCTGCTGAAGGGTCCATGTGAGGCATCCTTACCGACAGTGGTCACTCAATACGCATCAACTTAAAGTTTCCGCTTGTTTTCTTCGTGCTGGAGAAACACTGAAAATTCCAACGTCAGTGGGTTATTGCGAGAGCAGAGACGACGGATATATGATTGGCCAATCAGGTATTCTGTTTACAGAGGTCATTCAATCAGGCCCAGTACTTTTCCCGGCTGAACATGAATGCCATATGCGCATACGCATAGGCACTATGTGACATCTCATGAAACTTGTGGACGAAAATTTAGACGATGAATTGTCGGCAACTCAAATGCTTTATATTTTATTAATTACCGTAGTCTATTCCGGACTATGTCTTTTATGCACGCAGAATATACTTATAAATAATTTCTGTACACTGTACTGTACACTGCGTCCCGTAACAGCGACGAAACACACACACACAACTGGTTAACACACTGACTCTTCAACCGCCAAGAGAAAATCGTGATACACACCCTTGTCAGGCAGTTCTAGACCTCCCCAAACAATTCCGCAGCCACCATCGCCTATAGCTTATTTTGCAGCTTCGTTGCCCAGCCCTGATGGATTTCCTATTTACGATGTGTCAGTAAACACAGGAAAAGGTGGCTATTCTTTATTTCTATTATTTACCATTTCTCCCTTATTCTGATTGGCATTTAGCCAACGGTCTATTGAGATGAATACGATCGAGTCATACGTGAGGACTATTGGCCGAAGAAGTTCTTCAGCATTTGACTTCTTACCAGTTCTACCTTGTCTTAGACTGCAATACCCATTTCTGTAGCATTTTTTGCTGTTACAGCACACAGGTTATTGTCTACTTTTGTGCATGGAACTGTTCCGTTAGGTTCAACCATCAGATTTTGGGTTGCCTTTTT